AAAAAAAAAAAGTTATCTTAAGGTGGTTTCTTAGTTTGCACATATATGGCACTAAAAGAATAAGAAAACAAAATAAATATTATCTCAAAAAAAGAAAATGGAATGAGGTTATAATGATTGCAGTACACCTTGCCTACTCCCATGCATAATGAAATCATACAGTAACTTGATAGACTTAAACACAACGAATTTCGTGATGTTCAATGTTCGCTTTGAAAACCCAACATATAAGACAGTCATTTCAATTTATATTTCAACAATCGCTGCTAGATTTAGACTCCTTGAAGACTGATCAAGAGCGACAAATCAAAACTACGATGGGAAAAATACCCTTTTCTCCTTTTCCAGAATCTCTCTTATGGGACGATGAGCAGCAGTCACACACAAATTCTGAAAGAGAAAACTAGAAATATTTATGAACAGCCCAGGTCCGGAAAGAATCATATTCAGAACGAGGAAGGCTGCAAGTCCAAGTCCAAACCTTAAGATCGCTTCCTGAATAACCATCGGTCATACTCGCAACTGAATCCAGGTCCACATCAGGCGAGAGGTCCTCTTTGGCCAGAATCACTCTAAGGATCTTGGCTCTATTAGCAGCGTCCGGCAAGTTAACCATCAACCTAATAGGAAAGGGGAGAAAAAAAAAAAGCAAGCACCATTGATCCTCAACACTTTTTGGACTCTTGAAAATGGGTTTCTCTTTCTTTTCTCTTCTTTCTTTCATTTACCTGCGTGGCAGCCTCCTAATCACGGCCTCATCAAGGTCGAAAGGCCTGTTGGTGGCAGCAAGTACGAGAACACGTTCTTTGTCTTTTGTACGCAGACCATCCCAGTTCACCATAAATTCATTTTTCATTTTACGCATGGCCTCGTGTTCTCCAGGGTTTTCCCTTCGTCCCAGCATGCTATCGACCTTTCGAAAGGAGAAAAGAGATGCATCGTATGATGATGACTGGTACTCAAGATATAAAAAGAAGGAAATATGGCGGGACAAGATCGACTTACTTCATCAACGAATATCACGCTAGGAGCAATCTTGCTAGCCAGAGAGAAGACAGCCTTGACATATTTCTCACCCTCACCAAACCACTGAAAGTATAGAGAATAGAGAGACGGGTGTCAGACAATCTCTGAAGAACAATAAAAAATATCATATGTAAAAAGAAATTATATAAAAAAAAAACACCTTCGAGGTTATGCTAGACATCGAAATGTTAATGAAGTTTGCACCAGCTTCAGTTGCAACTGCCTTTGCAAGCATGGTCTTTCCTGTTCCAGGGGGGCCAAATAGCAATATACCTTTGCAAGGCTGCAGAGAAACAAAAGAACTAAGATCTTAACATGTCCCATTGCCGCTATCGAAATATGGCTCAGTTATCCAATCTTGGAGGAGATCAAACATCAGAAGCATGGTGCAAAGTTAAAAACTAATATATACAATTCAAGCATTTGTATAGACATAATGTTATGATTGAAACCACGTGCAAAGTTCAAAAGCATTAGCACATGATCATGCTGCCAGAATAGCCCGTCAATAATTCGTTTAGGATAAGAAGGAACAAGATCATGTCCCTGACTCTTCACAATAAAATGATCTAGAACACCGATAAGGCAGGGGAACCATTGCCAGACAACGCCTCATAAAGAATGGGCACAAGGAAAGAAAACGATACCATCTTACATAATTCCTAGGATATGTAATTTTTTTTAAAGGATGGATGAATTGGTGCAAGCCTCTTTAATGATAAAGGAAATTTTACTGTGGCAAGAAATAAAAAATATAAACCTTAAAAAATAAATGAAAATACTAACCTTTGTCAATTGACCCTTGCAGAAAAGTTCTGGCCGCTGTAAAGGAAGCATCACCAACTCCTTCAAGGTATCTTTGACATTCTCAAGTGCTCCTATATCATCAAATGTCACACCAATATCATTGGGAGGGATCACATCAGCTAGAAGCCTCTTCTCAAATTCGTTCTCTGTCACAACATCCTGGGCAAGCCACAAAATGCAAAATACTACTTCAGATATATAGCTGTTCCGTAATCAACCACTAACGATTGCTTCACTAATTATCACCTTGAGGGACTTCTTTGAAGCCTTGGAGTCATTCTGGATGGCATGTAGAATACCAATTCCATACTGAATGCTGATGCAGGAAGAAGTTTGTGGTAAGTATGTTATAATGAGCCATCCAGCAACGAAGTGGCAAACGGTTATTACCTCTCCGAAGACAAAACAAGCCTGCTATCTGCTTCAGCCTCGGGATTTGCCAGCAAATGATGGCTTAGAGCCCATCCAACCACCTTTTCCGCACCTTTAAAATATTATAATAAGTACATGTTCAACTTATGCCCACAAGTTCCCTCAACATGGGCAGATAATCGCACGGGAGAAAATTATATAGTTAATCCCACAGGATAAAGATGATCGATTTTCTATCTCATTAGAGAAGAAAGCAAGGATAAAGCTTACTCTCATTTGTAAGTGTCTGGTCTTTTATGTTCAATGTTTCAAGTCCATCACACTCCAACCCATTACGATTGAGAACCTGTATGCGAAAAATGAGGCAATATGTCGAAAGCACTGCTGGTAGCACCCCTAGTTATCAAGTTCCTCATAGTTTAAAGGTACAAAATTTAAGAAGGAATTACTCAGGCTGTGTAATAAAAACAATTGCAGCAAAAATTTCTATTCAATAAAATTATCTGGATAATAGTGAGTGTTGGATATACAGGCTGTATGCATTCAGGCTGGACACTAGATGCCATGAGCAAAGTTACATGAACATTTGAACTTGTCAAGTGGAAAATTAATTTTATAGCATTACACCAATATCAAGAAAGAATAAATCATATTAATAATCATATTATTAACTCAGCTCTGGACTACTAAATAGATGAATAAATCGTATTATTAATAATCCTACGATGATTCCATCTCAAGTATAATTGCTTACTACCAGTGGTGACTTATATACTATAACCCTACTAGGATGCCAAAGAAATAAACAATACAAACTTTTACGAAGAAAGGAATCTCACAGTCCGTAAATTATTCAGATTTGCTTTCAGTTTTAGAGTTTCAGCATCTCGTTCCAGTTGCTGCTTCCAACTGACTAGGAGTGTTTCGTCCTGCAATGTGTTTATATATCATAGTTGATTAATGCAAACCAATCTAGGATGCAAAAACAAGAACGAACCTGAGGCATGTGAATTGTCACTTTATTTGGGAAAAGTTTGGATAAAAGCTTGCTTCCCTTGGTAATATCCTTAGCCCTATCATGCAACCTCCCAAGACTATCCTGAAAATCAATAATAAATTATATTAGCCACTAAAACTAGTCAGATAAGGAATTAAATCAAATTAATATTTGCAACACTGTAGAAAAAGGCAGAAGGCAAACAACTGTATGGCAGAAACTAAGTGAAGAACTGAAAGTGGTGTCTCATTAAATAATTTCACAAGGCTCTTCGGCCAAGGGATAGAAAGTTCTTATCCACTGTTAGTTGTTGAATAGAAACAAAGTAGCAGCTTGTTTGACAAAAAAAAAATGCAGTTCCTTTTAAGAGAAAGATATGTTCAATAAAAATTGTGCACTGACAAGTTTGAATTGGAAATAACCCAAATATGTGCACTGACAAGTTTGAATTGGAAATAACCCAAATATAAATTGGAGCACGTTGGAGTATGTTGTGCATCCACTACAAGACAGGGTTTAGATTTCTAGGTGAAAGCAATCAGTTTCAGTCCAACTAAGAGATCCGAGATTCTTGTTTCACGACCGTTGTTTTAACTTTTAATTAGGGGGGTTAAAACAAGTCGGCTTCAGAAAAAGAATATCATAGTTTTTTCCCAAAGAAAATTATGTAGATGTACTTTTACGTTCTATCTAGATACTACAATATGAATAAGTATGTTTGCGCACGATGGTGGGACCTTTTGGGAACTATCCATTCGGGTAATCATTGGATTTCCATACGCACTTTTTAAAGAGCCAAAAGTATAGATATCTTTTGGAAGAGAGAAAGATGATAGCATGAGGCGATTGATTGAGCACGTGTCTTTTGAACATATAGTGTTACCCAAGCCACTTATCACTACAATATTTGAAATGAGAAGCGAACACCAGCCCCCAACTTGAGCTTCACTTGAGGATGGATGGGAAGTTCGCAACAGTAAGACTGCATAAAGATGGATAGTACTGAAATACAAACACTGCAGCTTGATGAGGTTGGAATTCGTTCAAATCATTTCCTACAATGTTGGTTGGCTCTAAAGAGTTCTCTTGCATTTGAGAAAAACTATCCAATATGTTGAACTAATGGATTTTGTGAAAAAATGCCAATCTATGCCATGCCACCCAATAAATATTCATGACTGAAAAGTTCGCTTCAAATATGTATAACCAATAAAGTTACAATACTGCCAGAAATGCAATTTTATTGATACTTACAGGAAAAGCCAAGTCAAGCAAAGCAGTCTGATTGCTGCCAAATTTCGTGAAAAGCAAACCACCAGTATGAGACTGCATGAGAAAACAATCAGTTCATGAGAAAATTCCTACATCGTCTTGACTACCTTTTCATTTTAAGATTCAAAGCCAGTAGAGTGGCACAGCAATTGACTCAATCAAGAAACATATAAATTCTTCAAAGTGAAGAAAATATATCACAGATATCATCTATGACTTGTACCTTTCTTTGCGGTTGTCAATGTAAGTATGTGAACCAATAATTACAACTTGTACCTTTTCTTTGCGGTTGTCAATTTGAGTATGTGAACCAATAATTACAACGTTATTAGGAAGCTTCTCCAGCTTGATCATAAATAAAGCATATGACTCAGAATTTCCTGCCATAGAATTTTCAGCATCTTTCATAAACAAAATGAAAGGGGACTCTTGGCTCACGTCAAACACGGTCTGGTGATGCAGAGTGAAATTAGTATTAGTATCAGACAGAATTGAGATACATATCAGTCTAAACTCGAGTGTTATTACAGTAATTCCACCTCAAACATTGTGTTAATAAGTAATTTGTCCAGATCCTCCACGCCTGAGGTGTCCAAGCGAAGCTCGTTGGCTAAAGAACGATACAAAGATAAAATGAGGAGCGAAAGAGGTATGCTAAAGAACTTGCTTGGCATTAAGTGAGAAGAATAAATTTTAGTGAAACGGCATATCACCCTTGCAGAAGAATCCATATCCATTGTCACAAAGACCTCCAAAATCAAGCCCATCTTGCATGGATTTGTCAAATTTTACGCCAATCTTTGAAAGAGGATTATCTTCAAATGGCAACAGAACCTTTCCCCGCATTCCAGGAGTTGGGCCCCTGAAGTTCCAGCTAGAAAGCCGTTAAGTAGGTAACATGTCGCAATAATTCAATATCTGAAGATATTCAAACATATACACTTAAATTTAATTTCCAAATTAGAGAAGACACAGCATGCAGTCCCTTCCTCTGAAGTTGCTTATACATTCTAGATCCCAGATAACAAATATGGTCATGTCACATCTTGATTGAAGAAGTCAAGATTACATGATTTGAAAACGAAAGTATTCATCAAAAACAAAATGAGCTGATTCCACCATCAAACCAGTGTTTCTAATAGTGCACAAACACAATATTCAAATTAAACTTCTAGCCGATGGTTTCCTGTTTGGTGTATCAATTTAATATAAAAGATTTCTGTAAATTTTTTACTTCATGTCTAGCAACACCAAAACCAAAAATATCAGAGGAAATCACATTTTGACACAATATATGTTCATGCATAACCAAATGAACCGCTTGCATAAATGAGATTCACAACAACACAAAATCGAGACTCGGTCGTGGTTGCAATTGCAGGACGTGGTGGTGATTGAAAATTTTGAAGGCTAACACCGTAAGTAAAGTTTCAAAATTCAACCAGCAAGATTAGGCATGGATCGTGTTAGATTTAATGATTCGGGGAGAAGGGGTACTGTCCAGGTGAAGCGCAACATAAGAGGGTAAGTCTAGGTGCACCTTAGTGAGGTTCCATCCCAAAACCAATTGGCAATGGGAAGAGTGTCCACTAGGCTTGTAAGCTAGGCTCATTTTTCATATAGAATCAATGTGGAAAAACTCACAAATGATATTTTAACATAATGTGGTTACAAAGGAAATTGTTGAAGCAAGGATTGAGTTACTGCTGAGAAATATTCTTTTGCATTATCGCTTCGCATGGTATGAACATAAGTGTGAAGCTGGTTCTTAATTTCAGCACAAAATGAAGAGAAATGTTGAAGAACCTCATAACGTTTTTTCATGAGATAAAGCCAAGTGACACGAGAATAATCATCAAAATGAAATTGACAAAATATCTTAAACTGGGTTTAGATAGAACCGAACAGGGATCCCAAACATCCCCGAGGACCTAAATGAACACATGAATGTTTTACGAACTGACACGGACCACAGTGCAATGAAGACAATGAAGTGCAATGAAGACAGGGAAAAAATTTGGGGACACATCTTCTTAAGACTATGAAGGGAGGGATGACCCAACCGACAATGCATCTCAAACGGGGTGATGGGGTAGAGCAATCAAGAGATTTGAGATTGTGGCTCCAGAGTTTCAAGTACATAGAGCATTAGATTCATGCCCTTTACCAAGGATTTGCTTTGTTGAAAGATCCTGAAAAAGGCAAAAAAATGAGATACTACAAGGATTTTGTAAGTTTGGAGAGTAAGTTGAATGACAAATTTGGAAGACTCGATACAGACTGTAAGGTAATATAGTTGACCCATCAGCTATAGTGACATGAGTGGAAGGTGGGTGAGTGTCGAAAGTGGAGAAAAGATTGTGGTTACTGACAGAAGCTCCAGAATCAATTACCCAGTTTGTGCTGTGAGACACAAGACACTTTGCAGACTTACCAGTATCAGCAAAAACGGTTTCAGGTTTGTTGGGCTCTACGGATTCAGTAAGACGGGCATATTCCTGAGCTGAGATAGTAACTGTAGAAGCATCATGAGCCAAACTATTCGAAAGCTTCTTTTTAACAAATTTCGAACAAGTATACTTGGTGTGCCCGCGGTCATGACAATAGAAGCATTCAAAATTATACGAAACAGAAATTTGAACATCCATATGTCCTCCATGAAAGCCTCCTCGAGTACGAGTTCCTTCACGGGCTCCACCGTGAAATCCCCCTCGAGGACTACCACGAAAACCACCACGTTCAACGAGAGTATTCAAAGGAAGGGGGTTCTTGTTATACATAATTGGTATAACTTTAGCTGATTTAAGGTCAACCACATGAGATATACCAAAGGTCAAAATAAAAGAACTGAGGATACTAACGAGAGTAATCAACAAGACCGAGTAATCACCAAAGAAATATCAGGTGGCCAAAATTATCCAAATCGAAGAAATATTCCTATCAAATGCAGCAACGGACCCAAATCAAATAAAAAAATGGATAAAACCAAACAAAATCCAAAAACTGAAATATGCAACATTGAAACACGAAACTCAAAGCAGAATTGGAGACCTGAGTAAATTCCGAGCAACCGAACGGCGGCCGGAAAAAATTCCGGCAAGCCACGCGCGCCCAAGCGCCGACGCTTGAGAAAGTCTGCAGCGATGACGCAGACTGTACAGTGGAATGTTTTACCGACTTTCTAGAGTGGATTGTTCTATGGTTAGAATGGACACTCTAGAGTGGAATGTTTTACCGACGCAGCCTCTGCAAATTGCAGGGATGCAAGGATGATCATAGATCAAAAGGAGGGAATCTAGTCTCTTGGAGGAGTAGAAGCAGAGCATCGTTTCTCGACCCGTTGCTGAAGCAGAATATAGATCCATAGCTGATTTATTGTCAGGATACATCAGTTATTGTAGAATATTGGATGTGAGCTCTCTCTCCCAACAAAGATTCGCTGTGATAATCATTGCACGACCATTCTAGTATTTCACGAACGGACAAACACATTGCAGTGGACTGCCACTTTATTCGAGACAAAATCGAAGGGTTCATTTCTACAAAATATGTGAAATGAGAAAACCAACTAGGAGACATAGAGACATATTCACAAAGGCCATGAATGGTGTACGACTTGGTAACATATGTAACAAGCTGCGCATAACCAATGTACATGTACATGCACCAAATTAAGGAGGAATGTTAGTGTAGTCTATTAGGAAAGTATATGTGTTTACTATAATTATGGGATTAGATTTGGATTTGATTAGGATGTTTATTCCCTTAGTTGTATATATAAAATTAGGCTCCTTGTATTATATCATTATCATTAAGATGAATACAAATTCAGTTTTGTAACAGAAAGCTAGATAATGTTATGTCATATCCAGGCCCTCACGCTTTTGAACAGTGATCTGCCAGCTGTTTCACTCTCTGGCGCGTGAGGGCGCGCGACTTGTCGGAATTATTTCCGGCGAACTTCCATGGTCCTAGATTTTTGAAAACTTTCTGCCAATGCCTTCAATATCCTATTTTGAAAGTTTTTTTGTGCCCGTTTGGCGTTTTTCAAAGCAACCAATGGTTCTTTGTTGTTCCTGGAGTCTTAGGTAGGGCTGCTAACGAGTCGATCCCAGTAGAGCATGGACCTTGTCGACCTCAAGCTCGATTTTTTTTTTTCATTTTATTTATTAACAGAACAATAAGAAGCACTTAAATCCACAACAAACCGAGACTAGAGAACAGCTATTCAGCCGAATAAACATCCAACGGCCGAATAAGAAAAAACAGCTGATAGAACTACACGTACACATTGACAGCTGCCTAAAGTCAACCTACAATATACAACACAACTAAAAAATTCCCAAAAGAAAGAAGAAAATGAAAAATGACACTCAAGCTCAACTCGTGAAAAAAATGGAAATGCTCGAGGTCGACTCGATGCTCGAGATTGGTCCGATGCTCAACCGACTCAAGTTTGGCTTGAATTTTAAGAACTATAAATTATGCACCTATGACAATTTTGTGAGTTACATATATATTAAGGGTGTTTAAGTATTTTATCGCATATTTAGAGCCGCTCGACGAGCGGCTCGACCTCTGAAAATTTGCGCTCAAGATCGACTCGTAACATACTCGAGCAGCTCAAGCTCGACTTGAGTTCGGTCAAATACAAGCGCTCGCGAGCGGCTCCTGAGACGCTCGACTCGTTTGCAGCCCTAGTTTCAGGTTTTGTCAGAGATATAATATGATATAATACGTGATCGTGCTACCATTGAGCCTCCTGATAGGTAAAGGTTTTCCACGTGTGTGTGCTGGTGTGGGAACTTGCTATGGCTGAGGAGCTTGCTTTACTTGATCATACCGGCACTTTGGGATTTTGTTCCATTACAATCGCATGTCGTACCTATCACCCGTAAAGTGGGACTTTAATATTAAGACTGGGACTTTAATATTAAGACGAGATCGGATGGTTCCATTGAGGAGTATAAAGCTCGTCTTGTTCTAGAGGCTTTCAGGAGACTAAAGGACGGGATTATGATGAGACATTTGCTCAAGTTAGTCAAATGACCACTGTTCGTTCGTACTTCGATTGCGGTGGTTGCTAATCGTTGATGGAGCATATCTCATATGGATGTGAAGAATGTTTTTCTTCAAAGGATCTACATGAGAAAGTTTATATGCAACCACCACTTTGTGTTGATGCCCCTTCGGACATGTTTGTCGTCTTCGTTGCGCCTTATATGGTCTCAAACAGGTTCCACGTGCTGGGTTTGAGTGTTTGTCTCTATTATACGGGTTGCTGGCTTTTCTTCTAGTGATCTGATCCTACCATGTATATTCATCTCTCAAAGCTGCAAGTCGCAGATTTTTTCACCCAAGCACAAACTAGAGAACAACATCGGCTTCTTGCTCAAACTTAATGCTTCGGATCCTCCACCTCTACCTTGAGTATGAAGGGGGTGTTAAGTATATCATATTCAGGCCCTATATGACTAGGCCCATAAGGCCATGAAGAACTCTATATATATGGTCATTCATATTCATATCAAAGGAATCATCATCTCAGAAAACCCTTTGTAATAGAAAACAACCACATTGACTAGAAAATAACATTTAAACATGGATGAAAATCATCAATAGCCAGAATTGGGGTCATGAGCTCAGCAAAGTACAATGATAAGGATTAATAGCATATTGAAGCTGCAGGCTCTAACCCCCAAAAGACATTCAGATTTTGAAGATACCTAGATTCCTCCATATTTTTTACAAATGAGAAGAGGAATAATGTCCAAACTAAGCCAAGTTCCCAAAAGATGTTAAGGGGGTGATTGTATCAATTCAACAAAAAAAAAATAAATAAATAAAATAAAAAATAAAAAATAAAAAATCAATCAAAGCTCAACTTTAACCCAACCCCATTATCCTCAATATTATCAATATAATTAAATAATATCAACCAATCATTCTTACACATTACATCAACTTTAATTCACTATTCATCCACTCACATAATTTTAACTAACCATCACTTCCAATCATTGTCCTCCTACTTTATATCAAATCAACTTTAATTATTTTATTTAAATACTATTATTTTAATATATCCACTAACAACTAACCATACCACCTTTTTCAAAATTAACTATAGTTTAAAAAACAAACCAAATAAAAACTAGTTGAATCCATAAACAATCACCCCCTAAAATCTTCAATTTACCCAGGATTCCTCCATAACTTTTATCAAGTTCAAAGCATAATAATGCTCAAACTAAGTAAAGTCCAACATACATTACCACAACCACTATCTCAACCCAACAGAGTCATAAGCAAAGAAATTTATCCTAATAATAGTATATATCAAGTACTAAAAATTTCCAACATACAAATCTTGTAAAATAAAGCATGAAGAGTATCAAAATCACCTGGCAGAACATAAACCACCAGAGGTTGGACCTACGAATTTGACTCTATCACCTGCAATATCGAATGAGCAATTTATACAGGTTGAACTTGGATTGTAAACAAATTGAATTCTTTTATTAGTTCAATTATAAGGGTTCAAGGTTGGAAGTATTTTAAACTACTTACAAATATGAATATCAATATTAACATGTGATTTGGATAATGTTCGAATATCTGGTTCATAATATTTCATATAATCACTATTTTAAAATACTTTACATAGTATGTGTATAAGATTACGTCAAATTTTGTAAATTGTAAGTTACAAAATTGCACTGTAGTCGATTTTATGTGAATTATATTATTGTATGTAACATGCAAGACCTTTTAAATTATTAAGGGAATCTGTTATTTCAGATTCTAATTAATGTTCCAGCTTAAAAAAAACTAAAAAGAAAAAGAACAAGTTGATTAATGAATACAAATATTTGAATAATATCTAACACATAAACTTGCTTCTTGAATCGAATATGAGCCCATATTTATATCTGAATGTTGGAATATATGCTAGTATGCAAAATCTGAACTGAATATGTTGATTTAGTTTTAGTTTGATTATTTTCCAACAGTAGTTAGAACAGGGAAGCAGAAGGTCATCACAATTGATTTAAGGGAAATGTTGAACTGCAATGAAACAAACTACTTACCCAACTTAAAAGAATGGTTCTTTGTTTTATTAACTGAAGAGGGCACGTTATCAGTTTCAATTTTCGTCCGCAATTCCAGGCCAAGGGGATTACTCGGCAAATTAGAGGTGTCTGCTTCACCGGATGAATGTCCAATGTCCTTGGCAAGATCTGTGGATCCTGAAACATGCTTGCTGTTGTTATGTACCTTTTCTGCATTGTTTCCCTCTTTCAGCTCAGCATCCTTGGAAGTACCCTAATACACAAAGAATTCTGGTTACATCGCAACCGAACCCTGACAATCTAATAAAGATTGGGAACAGAATTAAGAAACTAAGAACCAACTTAGTAACAGAATCTTGTCAAGTAGGATAAGCTTTTTTCTCAATTTCTAGTTTACGGGGGACTTAAATATAAATACATATATATTTTTAAAAAAACAAAAAAAACTTCAATTGAAATAAATTTTATTTTTTCTTACTCCCAGAAATGAATTGCGGTCAAATATAAGCAATTTCGCCCCAAAATAATGAGCAAGTGCCTTTACCAACATCTCCTGATAAATATCAGACCCTGAAAAAGAAAATAGCCAAATTATCCTGGGGCATTATGAGGAAACAATGCCACTAATATCACAAACAAGCATTAGAGCACAATTGAACGTTTTGGGAAAATAATAATAAACGAATAACCAAGTACCTGTTGGACCAGAAAGTAAGATTCTAGGATTCAATGTTGGAAGCTCAGATGTAAATTTAACTTGATCTCTGTGACTCAGTTGTATATAGGAAGCTGCAATTAGCACACTTTTTGTGCTCTCGCTGCAAAGTTAAATACAAATGCAATTATCACCAGAAAAAAATATTTGCGTGTTTTTATCTGCTACTTAGTAGATCAAGAGAGAAACCCAAGAATTTGTATAAAAGAAAAACATAATTGCTATAATTTGAATATTTCCGGAGCTACAGAAGCATACCTCAAATAATATGGAAAATTATCGAATGAAACCTCAAGGTCCTCACCATCAAGAATAGCAGCTAGTATGCCTTCTCTAAACGCTTTAGTTCGTGAACACATAACTGATAGAGATACTGGGACTAGATCCTTGAGCCAATCTCTATCATCCTGTTTACATGAGAGATTTTCCTACACTTTATATACAGGAATTTATGTCATGAAATATAGAAGTTAAGAGTGCACATTTCACTGGCACTCGGGCAATTTACATGACTTGCCTCCAAGCCAGCTTCTATATTGCCATCAAGTGGGAGGATCTTGGTGGCAGCTCCCTCTATATCTGCCGCAGCTTCACCACCTAGATTTGTAGCTGAATTAACTTCTTGACCATCAGGTTCGTCTTCATTAATTAGGGAAGAAGAAGGTAGATTACTCCCTCTGTGATTTTTACCGCTGGTCTGTGAAGTTGGCTTAAGACGAGATAAATCTTGCTGCAGATTAGAAAGTGATGCCAGGATTGAAGCACCCACTGCAGTTGATCCATCTCCTGGTTGTCTTTCAACTTGAACCAACTTTTCTACATTAGGTTGAACATCTGGTGGAGGGGTTTTTATTATACTGTCGTAAGGCAGCTGCTGAAAAATCTGCATTACAGGGATTAAGGATAATCCACATGGAGTAACGGATAAATTGAACAAAGATAGAAACAAAAAATAGTACAAAAATTAAAAGGATACGTATGCATGATTTCCAAGAAAGCCGAAAACCACTTCATCCCCTGAATTAAGATTGCAACTAGTGTTCTTCTTAATTACTTTCCCATTGACTTGCACACATCCTTTGCTCCCACGACTTTCAAGTACCACAACAGGCTTATTGTCGTGCTGATCATTACCGGAATGAATTATTATAGAAATAAAAAAATGAAAAGAAGTTAGCCTTGGAAATAATATTATGCAATCAATACATGACACGCAGACTTAAAAAACTCATAACTCTAAAGATCGGCGAAAGGCGACAAAAATTAGCGACATCTGTTCAGAAAAATAACAATAGTTGTGTGCGATGTGTGCACTACAACGTCATCAATTCAATATTTAACACTTTAAGTAGGTATGCGTTCATGAAGCCATTAGTTGACGGAAACTAGACTTTCTGCATCATCATCACTCTCCTTTCCTATCCACAACTATGTCCATAAGACTGGTCCATGTCATCTTATTGTAAACCAATCAAGTGAAATGCATGGCTAAAAATGAAACAGTGCATGCAGCATGAGTTTTAACTCGTAGAAAAACAAACGTTTACCTGGGAAAGCCTTATGGAACAAAGTATCGCACTGACCGTCTGATCCCGGATCAAAAGATTGGCATGTTTGCTTCCCCCTACCAAGAAATTGGTTGTGTACACGGAAACAGTGGGGTTCTGCAAACAGGTAACTTGCACTGAGTGAATCACTTTCTTTAATTAGTAACTCCAAAACTAATGAAAGTTTCAATCGAGCACAAAATCGAACTAATTCACAATAACAGTAATACAGCTTGACAACAATTTGAAAAAACTAAGATGCAGAAGCACAAGAAACTGAAAGTACCTGTGTGGACTCTGTGAGAAGCCTACACCAGGGCGAGGTCGTCTCGAAACCTTGGTGCTGTTTCCACGAAGCGAATGAGCTCTTCAGTTTATCCAAATTAGCCGCCACATCTCCTGAATTTCCAAAAATTCCCCAATTTCAGCCTCTCAACACATGCACACGCCAGAAAAAAGCTAAATTGGCTTCCAGCAGATCATCACATAAATCATAGAACTAACCTTCTGCAACGGCCGGAGGAGCAACAGATACAGATGGTGCATCAACCGGAGGGTCGGAGACGGCGACGTCAGGGAGCTCCGGCGGATCAGTTGAGCTCAATTCCTTCGGTTGCTCCGCCGGCTGAGACTCCGCCTCTGGATTCCTACTGTTTCCGTTGGCACTACAGTTCTCACCCTGCGTAAGAACAAAACAACACCGCTCAGAAATCAGCGGCGCAGATTGAGAATCCGGCAACCTACATATACCAACAGGCAACAGCTCTTCATATGTGTGCGTGAGAGAGAGAGAGAGAGAGAGAGTGTGTGCCTTTTGACGCTTGGGAGAAGTAGGGCTGTTGTGATTGTCATCGGACGCCGAAGATGATCTCTTGCTGCTACTCGCCGGCAGAGATCCACTTCGCCTGGTCGACACCATTTTCAGCTTCTTCTTCTCGTCCCGAAGACAATATCTTATTACAGAGAGAGGAAAAGATGGTTATTATTTTATTTATTTATTCACTCGGACTCGGTGCCATTTAACGGGCAGCAGAGGCGGGGACTGAAAACGAAATAGGAAAAGTTGTGTGGGTTAAATTGGGAATTGCCGACATTTTGGGGGTCATTAGGAGATTTTGTCGCACGGGGTAGTGGGGCCGGGAACGGGGTATCTGATGACGGGGGGGTGCTCGTGTTAGCTTAATTCATGTCGTTGGCACTAAAATGCGCAGCGGTGCCTGACCGGTACGCCTTTATGTGGGCTTTATACAATAAATATTTTCCGGATTTTGGGAAAGTTGCTTTGAGGCAAAATTATGTGGTGTCAAGTTTTTTTCTTTTACGTATTTATTTATTTTTCGTTCTTTTTTGAAATGTTTTAGGTATTAGACCGTCTCCAACCAAGACGCAAAACTCAAATTTTGCAGTAGAATTTTCTTCACCCGAACTGAAAACGGATCTGCAAAATACGTAAAGGGGCTCTCTCTCTCCTCTAGAAACGCATATTTGCGTTCTGCTGCAAAATTTGCTTTTGATCTTTTAATTATTACATATAAGTCCTTCTATTCTATATTTATATTCTAAACACCTTATTCTTTTATATATATATAACTGTATGTATATTGTATTTGTTAATTTTTTTTTCATAAAAGAAATATAATATGAAATACAATATTTTTTAGTTAATTTTATATTATATTTTATTAATATATTTTAGAAAGACTATAAATTTTATATAGTATAATATTTAAATAATAAATATTATATATATCTTATAATATTATATATTTTAATGAATATTTATTTTTCCGATTTTATTATGTATAATTAATTTAATTACATATAATATTATATATATCTTATAATATTATAATTTGCACTAATATAATGAAAAAAAATAACAGTTTTTAAAATGTGAATATATGCGCTAGACCATATATGGTCTAGAGTGTAAATTTGCACTATACAATGAAAAAAGTAACAGTTTTTAAAATGTGAATATATGCGCTAGATCATATATGGTTTAGAGTGTAAATTTGCACTAAATCATATATTTTCAAAAATAACAGTTTTGATTCAATCGGTACATAGATGTATATGTATCTTCTTCACTTTTGAAATGAAGATGTAGTTAAAATACAAATGTAGGATAAGAAAATTTTTTATTCATATGGTATCATTTTAATATTAAAAAATTGTAAAATAAAATTATAATACATCAATAAATAAAAAGCACAAAATAGTTAACATAAAAAGTACATTACACAAATTATTTAGCATAAAAAATACATTTACTAATACACATTATACAAAAATTTACCAATAATAGCACACAATAAAAAATAATAAAAAAATAAAATAACTGCAAAGTTGATCACACTTATTCATTTTGCGTGTTGTAATTTCTAATTTTCATGTGTGTTGTAATTTTTAATTTTTCATCTTGTGTGTTGTAATTTTTAATTTTTCATCTTGTGAATTATAATTTTTAATTTTATTTGTGTGGTGAAATTTTAATTTTTAATAAATATTTATTTCTCCGATTTTATTATGTATAATTAATTTTAATTACATAAAGTCCAAATTGAATTTAAAATAATAGTGTGGTTTAATTTGTAAAGTTGTAAAATATGTGGGTAGTATTGAAAAGTTATAAAAGTTGGTGTAAAAGAGAATATTCTGGGAATATTCTTTTGGGTTTGAGAATGAGTTTTTCGGTTGGAGATGAATTGCTGCTAAATGGGATAGTTACTGCAAAATAGGTTTGAGTTTGGGTTTTTCGGTTGGAGATGGCCTTAGTTTGTTTCACGGTTTCATCCAATTCAAGTTTATATATCTCAGTTAGAGCTATTAAATTAAAGAGTTCGGCTCAGCTCGAATTGAAGGCTTTAACTAGCTGAGCTCAAGCTTATTTAAAGCTCGTTTGTTAAACGAGTCAAGCTCAGTACGGCTCGTTAAGCCTCGAAAAGAGAACTTTTAAATAAATTTTTATAGTTCGGTTCGTTAAATCTCGAAATCGGCTTGTTAAGGCTCGAGTTCGAGGCTTTAACGAGCTGAGTTTGGGCTCGATTTTTGGCTCATTTATTTAGCTAGTCGAGCTTGACTCGGTTCATTAAGGGCTCGAGCTTAGCTCGGCTAGTTTACAGGCGAGTCTCAATTAATGTTATCTTATATTCTTAAAACTAGGGGTGGGATTTATAAATCGGGAATTGGAGAATCGACATTAATCTAACTGAAAAAGTCAATTGTCCTCGGTTATTTGTTAATTTTTTTATATTTTTTTAGTTTAATGAGGTGAGCTCGGCACTGTAGTGTTGGGTTCGATATACCGTACGGAACAGAGTTTACAGCGGAATTTAAAATTTTATAAGTATTTATCTTATAAATACTTATTCCGTACATAAGTATAACGATATAACGAATAAGCATCATTTAAAATCTAGTAACTTTTACTAATTTTGATTTGATATGTAATTTATAAAAATTACCTTTGTTCTTGAACTCCTTCAAAACCGACGATGTATGAGGAAATCAATTCCCAGTTTGGTAACGATCACTTCTTGTGGTTACTCACTTTAGGAATCCAAATGTCTTCCCTCTAATCGTATCCACCTTTTGAAGTCCGGTTCCGACAATAGTTCCTTCGCTAGTAGAAACTACTCGGTTTTTCAAGAAGTATAGAATATATATATATATTTATAAGGAAATTTTTCAAGGACACTTTCTTGTATTATCACTCAACTCTTTGAATGAATTTTCTCTTGGAAGAATTTTGCTCAAAAACTTAGCAATTAATGTGCAAACATTTTGCACCTATTTATACCAGTGTTAGCCTAAACGCTAAACGGTAAACAGTCGGCGAGGGCACGTGTAGTGTTTAGACGGTGTACACGGCGTGTACACGGGATTAAACGGATTATACGTTTTTAACTACATTAGTATTAATATTATGACTTATGAGTCAATGACATAGCCATAGCCCATACGCAAATTGCAGATAACATCACAACAGTCAACATCACAGGTGTTCATCTTATAACACAACAGTTAGTAACACACTGCACGCATATATAGTTCTCACAAAACGGATCAATTTTTTGTTCTCCCGCCCAACCGCTTCTATTTCCAAAACGGACCGTGTAAACGGCCTAAACGGCCGTTTAGGCCGTTTAATACCGTTTAATACCGTCCCGTTTACACATTTTACACGGTTTTTTTCCATCTACACGGCTAGCCCGTTTAATTACCGTTTATCCGCTAAACTGCACACCATAGCGCCGTTTACCGTTTAAACAGCGTGTAAACGGTCTAAACGGCCGTTTAGGCGAACACTGATTTATACTAAACATTTTAGCATAAAATAATCAATATTTGATATATTTTATTTTAAATAAAATCAGATTTTATTTAAATAATCATACCAAATATTGACTTTTAATTAATAATGTGATTGGTTTATAACCACCATCAATCATTATTATTGTATTAATAAAAATAAGATTAATTATGTGAATTAGTTAACAACTCCTAACTACCATAATTAATTTATTCTTATTATTATTTAATCTTCAATCATATTAAAGATAAATAATAGAATAATAATTCTTGAAAACATTTTTCAAAACTTTATTATTTTAATCTATTCTTCAATTTCCTTATTTAATAATCTTATTATTATTTGGATTTGAAATTTAAAATCCAATTTTAAATTCCAACTATTAATTAGTAATTCTATTAATTACTAAATTAATATCCAAAATTCAATTAATCAATCTAATTGATTAATTTAATATATTCCTTTAATTGATATCTAATCAAATTAGATTTGTCAATTAATTCTAACTCTTTAGAAATACTATTTGGATTTTACCTTCATTCAAAAATTGGTGTGACCTTTTAGGTTCACAATTAATACTAGTAGTGGGTTTACAACTCTTTGTAATTTGAGTTATTCATATTAACTCTTATTCTTGAATTAACTCTTTAATTCAAGAACCCACATATCATGGGAACATCTAGCAAGTAGCATGAATCTAGTATTAAGTGAATAGCGAGTAAACCTATTTCGATTACAAGTTCATACATGTAAAATCCTTTCGACATCCAATTTCCCGATTAAATCTTTGGGTATGATTTTGTCGAAACCCAAATTGATTTAATAACTATGATTCCATTTCAAGTTTAGTAATTCGTTTATGAATCTCTATTCATTCCGCCTTGGCCAATGACTTTGAATTACTAACTATGAAACACATAGGAAATTCACTTATCTTCATAAGTGTCGAATCCTTTGTTGGCTATTGACAAACTTCCATACATATTAATATAATACCCAAAATATCCCTTTATACGATTGTGCTAGCAATCAAAAGGATAAATCAAAGTAAAATATAATATGCACAAAGTTACCATCGTGCCTCAAGTCTAAGGATTAATCATGTACTATTGTAACATGAAAATTCTTATTCGACATGATAAACTTTCATTAAGAATTTTCATACGGTCATGTTCAGTGAACTTGTTCTCTAACAAGCACCCACATATATGTATTTGCGTCCCACGCTAATGTTGATGGAATGCAACATTCTTATCCAATAAGCATACATACTATGTGCAAGTCTTTTCTGGATTTATTCGATATCCCATCTCGAAATATCCAACGACTTGGAACTGTATTTAAGATCACAGCTTTCAAGATATGTTCCAAGATCACCATCTCTATGCGCAACCATATCTTATAGCTATAAATGATCTAGGGATTTTATCTTAAGTGCAAATATATGATAAATGCTTACTCTTAAAATAAAGTAATGCCTTACTATTTAATATAATTCCAATAGATTGTATTGACAAGTAGAATACGTCCAATTTGATTGGAACGCCGGGTATCCTACTCTAACATGTAGGTGATAATGTTGAGCTTGGGATTAAGCTCCGCGA